TTACTCCTACATTGAGCAATGCTCTGCCTACCGAGACACACTTGCAGTGCTTCATGGCTTCCTTTGAGTTTTCAGCAGTCTCCTGGGCCTTAACAGCACAGCAAACAGTGACTCATTCCTCTGGCAAAGTGCACCCAGTGTGGGCTCCCTGTTCAATGTGTTTTTCTTGCCTTTTTCCTAACCCTCCACTGAGTTTTCCTTTATTTCAACCCTAAGCCCACACACGGACACAACTCACCAGTTCAGAGTGCTCCCTGGAACTTAAAGAAAGCAACCTTTCAACATGTTTAACGCATTGGAAAAAATTGTCCTTATCATGTAATGTGGTTCAAGATTGGGAAAAGAGTCCTTAACAAAGCCAGCATGGCCGGAGAACCAAACATCCAGCTCACACAGTGCTTTAGCTCTCCTCTTCCTGAAAGCTTCCAGCACCTCGGTGCGGCTCAGCACTGCTGACTGGTAGCTGTGCACAGCACGTCTCTGTGCTTGGATGTGCTATTGCTGATGGTCTCTGGTGATCAGGAATATAGAAAGGAATGCTCTCTGAATTTCATCAGATCCTACCAGTGCTTTGGTTAACATCAGTTATCCCGCAGAGCACTGGAGCTCTTTTATTGCCCTGACTTCAATCTTCCTGCAATGCTGAAGAAGGCAGACATCCGGGACTGAAAACAATTATTCTCATCTCCTGCTGATTTCATAATTACATGAAGCTCACAGCTGAAGAGCTGCAATCCTTGTATGGAAGATGTGCCTTTCATTAACCGAGGGCTGTGCCACACCACCAGAAGCCAAATCCTGAATTTGCAGTCAGTTACAGAACCTCTGGATCCTCAGCCAAGACACAGCTTTCTGGCTGAGCTGGGAGGAAGCATGATACCAAACATGAGATGATGCAGTGTCACCATAGCTGCTCTTAGAGAGCACTGCAGTGGGATCCTGCATTCAGATTCAGTTGGGATCTAAGTAGCTCCAATCTCTTCCCACAGCTCTGCAGAGGGCTTTTCTTTTTTACTTTCTCTTTTTTTCTGAGCACCCCAAAGAAGTCACAGGGCACACAGACGGAAATGCAGATAAAGAGCTGAAAAAGTGCCTTGTCGTTGGTTACCTAGCAGGTAATGCTATGGAGATGTTTTCCATCTCCTGTCCCTTCTCTGCCTGTAATTATAACATAAAGAGCACACTGTTCCCTCTCCAGATGGTCAAGTGAACGGATGCAGAGCATTTCAGTGGGGGGTAATTGACTCTCCAGCAGTAGGAAGGGAATTGTGAGCTTTCAGCTGACCTAGACAGACTGTCAGTTGAATTACTTTGCTCAAAACAAGTCTGTCTGTAGGCTCCAGACAGCCTGGGGGAATCTCTGAAGAGGGAAGGAGAAAGTTATGGGGAAAGAACCACTTGCCATCTATTAGCTCCTACCAAGCTCCATCAACATCTTTCTGTCAGCAAATTCATTAACTCCCCCATCCCAATTCAGTGTGGATGAGCACGTACACAGCCACACAGGGCTGCCACAATTCACACAGGTGACATTTCTCTGTATATCAAAGGTTTACTGTCCTGGGGTCCACATCTGTCTTCAGACACAAAATGTACTGCGTACATAGCTTCCATTTTGGCACCATGCTTCCTTCCATTAAACTCCATGTAAACTATTTGAAGCCTTCTGTGCTCATGATGGAAGGCCAGACCACAGTAGGAGGAATGGGAGCAGTCTCCCCAACAGAGGGTAACAGCCTATGATTTAGCCTCTACATGGAGTCTTCATCTTTAAAAGCACTTCATACCTGTTAAGTGATTGAACAGAATCTGTTTTAGCAAAAGGTGCTTAGGGAAAGACAAAGACAATCACACACACAGATGTTTGTCCAGGTGCAGCTGGGTATAAGCAGATTATGCCTGGGCACTGCTCTGAGAGCTGCAGCCCTTCCTTGCCTCCTCCAAGCTCACCATGCTACTGCTGTGAGCCAGCAGCTGTCCTCCAAGGTTTAGAAGCAGCAATGGCTGTCGCTTGGGAAGGAAACATGTCTTTGGCCCCTCTACTGTTACATCCATGGCCACAGATTAATGCAGAAGTTCAGACCTGAATCCTGACTATTGTCACAAAAAGACATATTTCTATCTATATTATTTGACTTAGCATCTCTTGCTAAGGAAATGATTAGGAATGTTTTCTACATCCATGCAAACAGGTTAGGAGAGTGGAGGGTGTGGTAGCGGGAATCATGTGCCAAACCAAGATCTAAATTGCCTTGTTTATCTTCTGAATGAGTCATTTCAGGTCATGCAGATAACAGTGCAATCCCTTCTTTCCTTCAGCTGTATTTTAAATTTACTCCTCTTTACTCAAAGACAGACACATAGGTTGCATTTCGCTATCTCCAGTTTATTTGCACTGGAAGAGCATTACTTTCTTTTCTCTGGAGGTATTTAAGATCTACTGGAACACTTTCCTGTGTACCCTTCTCCAGGGAGCTGCTTTAGCAGGGGATGCACTGGGGGATTCCACAGGTCCCTCCAACTCCCATGGTTCTGTGTCTCTCTGAAAAGCTGTGGCTAAAAATCCTAACCAAACACCACAAAATGAAAGAGATGGATTTGAACATCAGGAGTCCCTACTAAAAGAGGCAAAAATAGATTGCCTAACTCACCTATGTCTGTGGTGGAAGATGCTGCTGTTACCTTACAGCTTTTTGGGTGAGGAACTTGCTTAGCACAAGCTGCAATTTCACTGTGCAGTCAATAGAACAACAGCAGCAGAAGAATGTAATTGGTTTGGCTGTGTATAACAGGAACATGAACGTGCATACCGTACAAATGGGGTGGCAGGACGACTCAGCACCTCTGCAGAGTTTCTGAATGCACTGAATAAAATGAAATGACAAAGGTATGTAAATGTCTGCACAGCAGTCGAGTCCATCAAAATCCCACATCTTTATTCCATCTCTGAGAACGTCTCAAAGTGCACCAGTGCCACACTGAGACAGAAGCAGGAAAGCACAGTATGTATGGCTGGTAGCACTCTCTCACATATGGATACTCAGATCCAAAACAAACACTGAAATCCATCCGGGGCCTGACAATATCAATGCAGCATTCACTGCTGCTGTCGTAGCTGGCTGTGTATGATTTCCTGGTGGAGGGAGGAGTTCCCTAATTTACTGGTGAGATTCCACACAGTCCAGTTCAATGGTGAGACTCCACACAGGTCAGTTCAATGGATTACTCAATGTTGATTTTGGTAGCAGAAAGGTTAAGTACTAGGGTGGAATTAAGACAGATTTATCTCACTGTAAAAAGCAGATGGACATTTTAGGTGCACTAATCCCACTGACAGTCCAGATTGGCAATCTTCCTTCAATATATTGTTTCCCCCTGGAAGCAGCAGCACCTACATACCTAAGGAACACTGAGCATTTGAGTCAAGTCATCTGTGCATTCTCCAAACTCCCCCTCATTGACCTAGGATAGTACCCCTCTATTTCCATTCTGTTAGCACTCAGGTCCTGGTTCCTGTATGGGCCAGGACTGTGCTGTACCTGGGCTGCCCTGGGTAGCAGTGTGCAGGTTGGCTTCGTGCTCCCACCATCAGCTGCACTGAAGCAGTCACTGTCCCACTGTCCATCGAAGCAGAGCTCTAGGAAACATCTCTGCTGTGTCAAAACTCTCCCCAGACCTCAGCCACTCTTCCTAGCACTGCAGATATCAGAGGATTTGGGATCACTTATTAGCTTCTGTCCCTAGGCTAAGGGCAAATACACGGCCACACAAGCGATAAAGAGTAAAACTTACATAAGCAGGAAAATGGAAAATAAAGTCTCTTTTCAGAACGGTTTGTGCTTTCTTAGTAAGCACCACTCCTTATTTACCAAGAAAAAAGGTCATGTATTCATTCCTTTTTCAAAACTTCAGTCCCTAGAGCAGCCCTGTGAAATAAATCCTTTTCCACAAGGACTGGGGGGGAGGCGGGAGCTCCAATGTCATGCAGTCAACCATCTCAGGCAGAACATCCAATGCATGACAACAATAACACAGAGCTGTGGTCAGTTCTGTTGCACAAAAATCCTTAAGAAATCATGCAATTTCTCACACTCATTTACAGATACTCAAAGAAATATTTCTGAAAGGTAAAGTAAATTGGTGCCATCACCCCCTGTTCCAATGCAAACATCAGAACCTCCACTGGGCGAGCTGCGCTCAGCCAACTCAGTACTCGTAGGGGTTGCTCCATAAGGAGCATATTGTCATTGTGTTTTGGAAAGCCAGCTGACAGTGCCTCACTGTAACTCACAGAGAACAACAACAAGTGAAAGTATTTTATATGTATTGTATAAATGTTTATAATAAAAGGTCATAATACATGTAACTGCTACATGTTACGGAATACTGTTACGGAAACAAAAGGACTGGAATGTTTGCATAACAGTTTCATGGAGGAGGTGAGAGCAGGTACTGAGATACAGGACTGCCAACACTAGTGCTGTTATTTCAGAAAGAAGGCTAAATTGTGGCACCCAGCCGGGGGGGGGGGGGGGGGGGCTCGTAGTGAGGACCATCGTGCCCTCTGCCACCAGCCCTTCTCCAGCAGCTCTCTGGAGCTCCCAGGGTCCGGCCGTGTGACGCTCAGCTCAGGCTGGCAGCCAGGAATCCCCACGCTCTGCTTGCAAACCAATTGAGCGGAACTGGAAGGGACAGCTGACAGAAGTGGACTCTTTGTCAAAAGAAGGCAGCTCTTTGGCAGGAGCTAGAAAAAGCGACACGTTGCCAGGTGCACAGCAGTTACCAGCACAGGGCTCCTGCAGCAGGCAGGCTATTCGTGGGTTTACCGAAGCCCCATAGCTCAGAACCCACTTACAGCTCCGGGGAGAAGACGTGCCTACCATCAGCAGCCTCACTCCGCACCCCCGGGGAGAGGAGCCCCGAGGCAGCAACACAGAACGCCCAGCCATCAGCCGCCGCCCCCCGCTCTATGATGGCGGCGCGGGACGGGGGGCGGGCGGCCCCGCGGGAGGGACGGCGGCGGCCATCGGCGGCCATTGGCTGGGCTCGAGCCGCCGCAGCGCCCCGCACGGGGTCGCCGCCTCCTCCTCCTCCCCCTCCTCCTCCTCCCGGTGCGGAGAATGGAGGCGCCGCCGCAGCGGGGTTTCTCCGAGGAGCAGTTTCGGGCCGCCTGCAGAGAGCTCGGCCAGACGGCGCCGGGGCCGCCCTGGCAGCTCCTGGTGGAGAGCATGGGCGTCAGCATCTACCGGCTGTACGACGAGGTGGGCGGGCAGCGCGGCTCCCCATAGCCGAACCCTGCGGGCCGGGATTGCGGTCAGGCAGAGTTCCGCCGCCCCGGCTCGGTTTCTCCCGGCTCTCAGAAAGCGGCTTGCAGCGTAATGCTATTAACTGCTGATGGAGAAAGCCGCTCTGTTGCTGCTGCTGTAAACACCGCTCTCCCGAACGGCGGCGGGGCGCACGAAGCTGTTAGCAGCACAGAGCGCACCGCCCCGGGCTGCTGCCACTGCGGCTTTGGGTCGGCATCGCCTTTCGGCTGAGAGCTCCCTGAAACGGCTGACTCGTTACAGTTTTCTTACTGTAAACGACTCTCTTACTCGCTGCGGGATGTGCTGCTTTGCTTTTCAGATCATGATTCGTTATTTCATTCTCCATTAAAATGCTACTGCTAAAACCAAAAGGTTTTTAGAAAAAGTTATTTAATGATGTAGGCCGTGATTTGTCCAGCAATGGAACAAATATGTTGATAGAGAAGCACGGCATCATTTCTACAACTGTAGTTCTTCTGGAGCTGTGGTTCAAGAGCTGAAGGCAGCAAAGCGACTGTGAGCCCTTGAGCCATCCTGCAGCTGCCTTCACTTGTAAGGTGGAATCAGTCTGTGTTAATTCAGGAGGTCAGGTAGCGGAGCAGTTGTACTTTGTAGCAGCTCCTGAGCTCTGCGACAGTAAATTACATTGCTACCAGCTCTGTGCTGAACAGTTCAACATTGAAGCAAGGGATTGATGCTTCACTGGTGCTACAGCAAAGATGAATAGCTTAAGCTTCTTGGGCCCGTTGTTATCTTCTGCTACATTAGAACTTCATTTTTTACAGTTGAATTGTAGAGCATGAAGAGGGGAAGAGAAGATCGATCATTCACCAACAGAATGCTGTTATAATCCGTCCTTCTCTCTCCCCAGGATTGCTTGAATTTGACTCCTACGCTGTATTCTTAAAATACTCTCATTGTTTTAGTGTAGTTGTGAGCTGGTACTAACAATAGTACAACGTTGCCCTATAGGCACAGATGTCGTTCCCATATGTTAAGAGAAACATCAGTTAGTGCTGGAGATATCCTGCACCCCACCCCTTCAGTGCAGGCAGCTTTCACAAAGAAAACAGCTAACAAGTAATACTCGAGGCAAAAATGTGTAGTGTGTTATATATAAGCATGAATATTGTAAAGCCTTCTTGTGACACAGCCTCCAGTATGAGCGTAGCAAACTTGCAGGAAGGGTTCTTCCAGGTCATGTACTGCTGGGTAACCTCCTGGAAATGAATGAGATCCTTATGCTCATTTCATAGGGCCTGGAGACTGCCATAACAATTAAATGCTCATCTTCTGATGTGCCTCAGTGTTGTCAGGAGTTAGTCTGGCTGCCCTGGCTACTGGAGATGAGAAGGGGTGAGTGTGTGAAGAAATGCCCCTTTGGAACTACTTATGAAGTAAAAGAGTACCGTGTCAGGGAAGGCACAACCATTGTGCTAGGCAGGTCAGCCTGTCTGGATTTATACTTTCATGTATAGATCAAAATGTCAAGAGGTTAAAGACTGAATCTTGCATTGTTTTTTTCAACACTTGCTTTCGCAGCTCCTGAGCATTTTTGTAGTATGTGCCCCACCTAATTTCCTTCAGCTGTTCTCTCTGCTGCAGAATATTTCCCTTTCCTGTGTGACTTTTCCTCTCCCTATTCTGTTTCCACAGCAATCAGGACTTTATGAGTATAAAATCTTTGGTGGTCTTGCTGACTGTCCCCCAAAACTCTGTGCAGATGTCTATATGGATTTAGAGTTCAGAAAACAGTGGGATCAGTATGTTAAAGGTAAGCTGATTTAGGTGGTATAAAAGTCGACTTCGTGTCCACGCTGACTCTTCCCACTAAAACTTTCTTCAAAGGTATTTTGAAGTTTGGTGTAGTATTAAACGTGGAGGTTGGTGGCCCTGCATGTGGCAGGGGGGTTGGAGATTCTTGATCTTCGAGGTCCCTTCCAACCCTGGCCATTCTGTGATTCTGTAAAGCTGTATTATTGAAAGACTTCAGTACTGACACAATGTATTTTGGGATAAGATTTTATACACGAGTAAACACTGACATGAAACAGCTAACATGTCACTGCCACATAGCTTCCTTTTGGAACAAATTCTTTCCATGTTGATTAAAGCGCGTAATTAGCACTGCCTGCTATGCTGGAGCACCTACCAGCTTTGACTGCTGTGATTGTTGTGACTCCTTAGTTAAATTTTAGCAGGCGTTCAGTACCTTCTGTGCATCTTTGCACATTGTAACAGTGGCTGAAAGGGTGCAACAGAGTTGCTTCCATTTCTTTTTCCAGAAAGCACTGGTTGTTTTTGGCACCTCTTACAATCAGAAATGGGTGAATCCAGAGAATAGTAATCTGCTGCTTTTGCAGAGGAAGGAATAACTAACTTAGTTTTGTCTGTTCAATGTTTTTGAAAGAAGGGAGTTGTTGCTGGATATCTGTGCAGCGTTAAAACATGAAGTTGGTAGGGATGTGGCAATGATTGAACTGATGCAGGTCTCCAGTAACCAATTTATTTTAAAGATATCCCATTTTAATTCTGTTCCCAAAATGAGCTCATGCCAATAAAACTGCAACACGTGTCTTGCCAAACGAATAATAGTGTTATGTACCAAGTAAATGTTAATTGTTATACGTGTTAAACCTATAGCAGCTCAATTGGAATGATTACTGTAATGCCTTTGGCTGTACTTGTATAGAGAGACACTTATGTGGCACACGTCAGTACATGGGCACAATTCAGAAGCTGCCTCTAAATTAGTAAAGGTGTTATTTGCCTAAATGGACAATAGCTTTCTTGTAGCAAAGGCTGCTTTTCCAGTAATGAAACAAAACAATATGGAGGTGGACTCCAAATATACAAATGCCATTAAACTGGATATCAGATGTGTTACCTAAAGTCACTTCAGCAGTCTTTAAATGCATTTGGTAACGCCTTCTTTGAGAAAAGAAAGGAAGCAGTAGGGGGAAGCTACACCCTTAAACTAAAAGCTAGATAATGTTTGCAGAGCTGGCGTTTTTATCCTTGCTGCCCTTGATACGTTTGTCTGCAAATTCATACTTGTGTTGGTACTTCCAAGTACAACGTTGCACAGCAGTTAACCCTGTAAGGGCATAAATGTAATGTTAAAGCTTTCCTGTTAGCTTAGAATTTGACACAAGCTTACCCATTCCTTAGAACTGTGAAACAGTGCTAGTGGATATTTTCAAAGTAAATTATTTAAGATCTTTTTTTTTTTTTTTCTGCTTTCCCACAAAGGGTGAACAATGTGAAAGCTTCCATTCAGAGTCTCCTTGCTCTTTGTTTTACTGTTTGTATTCCTCGTTGCTCTTACAACTACACAGTGATGGCAGTCCAAGGAAGAGTTCTCTGCTCAACTACTGGCTGGCACTGAAATAATAATGAGTCCAAAATAACAGTAGCTGACATTTTAGTTGAAAAGGTAACTGCTTCTGCACCAAGCGTGAGAGGAGCTAATCTCTATCCTCTGGTTCTGTTCAGCAAAACCTGAGCGGAGGCAGATACGAACAGGATTCCCGTGATTACTTTAGAAGCTCATACCTTGATCTCATTTTGCCTAGAGTTTGCCCTTAGCCTCTGAAATGTCCCCATCAGTCTGCTACTGCTGTTGCATTGCAGTTAGCACCCTGGCTATTTCCAAAGCAGTTTCTTGGATATCACAGAGATAACCACAAGAGCAGCACCTCTGAGCTGTGATGTGGATATCTGGGCCTCTGCTGAAGCTGTCGATTCAGAAGGGAAGCTGTGACTGAACTGTAGAAAAGCAATGGAAGCACCACAGGCTCCTGTGGTATGAAACAAAATGGTTGGGCCTGAGCAGTACTGAAACTTACTGCTCCTATTGGAACACTGCGCTGACCAACAATTTAATGGTAGCAGTTGACTGCTAAAGTAGGAAATATTGATTATGAAGAAGTCAGACCTGTGATGTACTGTAGGTGGATCAGTCATTAGCTAACAGTTACATCAAGGTCTTTAAATCTGTGTTTTAGCTTCTTTGCAAAAGGAAAACTCTACAGTTAAAAATGAAAGAAAAGCTAATAAGCCAGTACTCCAGTGACCTCTGCTGGAAAGCAGAACACTGTAGCTTATTACAGCATTGGGAGTTTTAGGCAGCTGCTATTGCTCCACTCTGGAGAAGAGGAGATGCTGTTTTTGTGGATGACAGCTGACTTGCAGAGTATAATAATGGAAGTCCAGTTGGGAGCATGTTATTTAGGGGAAGAATCTGCCACTTGTGGCACTCTTCTTGCCTTAGTAATGAGGTTATTTGACTTTTCTAGCCTTATTTTGAAAACTATATGAAGTGATATGGCAGACTTGTGTTAGTCCTGAAGGATATGTAGTACCTCAAAGTAGGTCTATCCTAATGGAGAAGAGTGTTCTGTTGTTGTGAATTACCCGTTCTGGATCATACTTTTTATAGCTGAAGCTATGAAATGATCAGTCCCTGAACAGGCAAAAACTCACTCGGCTCAGGTCTGTGAATTGTCAGATCCTTACCCCGAGGATGCCAATTAGTGCCTGAAGAGAAGATGCTGTGTAGTAGAGTTCTTTAACCTCAGTTTTATTGTTTGAACTATTTTTCTCTTCTATACCACACTACTTCTATGAGTCACTGCCATGTTTTAGGGACTATTCTTAGCTATTTTTTCCCCATTCAGCTGCCTTCTGGTTGAGTTGCAAGGCAGACTGAAGGTGATATAATGAAAGCTCATAAACTGTTCAAGTTTTGTGTTCACTGTTGTCTTCACATACCACCGTGAGCTTCCTAATAGCTTTTCTAAACTTCACTAATCTGTCAAGTAAGACCTTTTCAGGTGTTAGAAACCAGCACTTATCCTAGCTTCCTGCTAATCATTTACAAAATAATGACGTGCTTGTGAAAAAGCATGTTCTGCATGGTGGTAATACAGAATTTGCAGAGGTGAGGAGAAAACTTTGAGATGGAAAGGCTTTGAATGAGATAACTGTCTGAAAAGGAATTTGTGTCCTCCTCCCAGAATTATTGTCCTTTTTTTTTTTTTCTTTTAGCATCAATGAAAACCAGGCAGAAAACCCAGGCCACCTATGTTTGTGTGTTTGGTTCCTGAACAATCCTGCTACAGATTTATTTTGTTAAGTCTTCTACAATTTTACATACATGTCAATTTTGCACTGGAAGGGGAAAATATCTAACAATCTTTTTCAACTCTAGAACTGTATGAGCAAACGTATGATGGTGAAAAGATAATCTACTGGGAAGTGAAGTACCCTTTTCCTCTCTCGAACAGAGATGTATCCTTTCAAACTTCTTGCTTTTTGTGGCTTTTATCACCCTGTCATCCAGGAATCCTGTGTACTGAGTACTGCTCTCCTGCACTTGATCTAACACCATAAATGTGTCCTCACGCTATATCAGTATGTATAGCATGAAGAAGAGTGTAGGTTCTTCTTCCCACATACAACTAAATCTCACATAGTCAAATTATTACTCTGTGGGATTGAGTCATGCAGAAGGGTGAGAAATAACTGGTATTTGCAATGGAATTCACCTGTCAATTCATCAGACGTCAAACTGACACTGTTTTGACATGCCTCCTCAACTTGGAACACAGTATGTCTATATTCGTGAATGTCAAGAGATGGATGTTGATGGGCGGAAGATCTGGGTTGTGTTAGCTCAAAGTGTGTCTGTTCCTCAGTGCCCTGAAAAGCCTGGGATTATCAGAGTTAAAAGTTATAAACAAAGTCTAGCAATTGAAAGTGATGGCAAGACTGGATCTAAAGGTAAGAAGTCAAAAAAGTGTGATCATGTTGCCTAAGAATGTGTGCATTAAGAAAAAAATGCATGAAGAGGGAGAGTGGAGATTTTAAGCTAAAAGCAGTTACTAAAAATTGTATGTACTGAGCTCTCGGAGTGTTAAAATGAATGAACAAAGACATACCTATTTTCCTATCAGTCAGTTCAGCTGAGTATAGTTTGATGCTAAATGGAAATTGCTTATTTCAGCAATGATTTAAGTATCATGTTTGGTAGATCTATAGAAGACAGGGCTTTCCTAGAGAGTGGCTCCTGACTGAGATTAGTCCTTTAAAGACAAACTTAGAAAATAAAACAGGCTGCCTAAACTAGTTTGGAATATATAATATAACATAATATATAATATAACATAAATTCATATTATCGCTCTCTGAGCTCCCCAGAGATTAACTGTTATACAGCTTCACATTCCAATTCAATACAAGTTTGAGGGTTTTTTTGGCAAAGGACTTGGATCAAAACTGTTGAATGCAGCGCTTCAGTCATGTGCCTTGGCAGCCCCTATCACATGGTGTTAGAGCTAATACTCAAACTGTATCTGGATAACCTTCTGATGACTTCTCTCTCATCTCTAGTCTATATGTATTACTTTGATAATCCTGGTGGCATGATTCCCTCATGGCTGGTCAACTGGGCTGCCAAGGTAAGTAAAGCTTGATGGTGCAATTATCTTTGGCTACTCTGCTTTGAACAATCTATTTGCTGCATCCAAACCTGTCTTCTGCAAGCTGAGTAGAATATATATATGTAAATAAGTGTATGTATGATATATATGTGCATATATACATTTTTTTTCTGAAATGGGTGCATTCATATTCCTAGCTCTGAGACAATTCCTTTTAGAGACATGCTGTTGTCTGCTCTCCTCAGAGCAGCTGTCTTAATATATTTTAATTCCTATCTTATAAACTGGGCAGGTAAATTTGTACAAGAAAACAAAAAATCAATATTCCAGACCATACGTGAATAGTCTTAATGTTTGCAAACTTCAGTAATGCAGTCTAGTCATGTAGTATTAAATGAACGTCTGCTGCTTTGTACCAGATCTTAGAATTGCCCTGGATTTGTCTGAAGGTCTTGATCTATACAGTGGGAACAGTGATCTTAATAGAGGGCTTTTTTTTGTTTTTGTTTTGTTTTTTGTTTTTTTGCATTATACAAAAGTGACTTATCTACTTCTCTCTTTACAGAGTGGTGTGCCTGCTTTCTTGAAGGATATACAAAAAGCTTGTTGTAACTATTCTAAAAGAACATAGTTCACATTTGATCTGAATTATTTAATTCCCAAAGTTCTGCACTTACAGAATGGCTATTACGTAACACACTGGATAAAATCTACCTCTAATATTGGAAAGAATTTTTGTTGTTGGTTTATGCCTTGAATCTTATTAGACCTTTGTTCCTTCTGCAACAGAAGTTAGTTGCCGACATGGTAATACCATCATCAGCTGCCTCTTTTTCATAGCACTTATATTCTGTCATGTCACCCATGCTCTGTTTGTGCTGACTGTCATAGGCCAGCTAGAGTTTATTGATTAAAGCATCACATCTTTGGGCAAGAGATAATAGCTTTTACTAGGCAAAAATGTCTGAATTTATGCTGAAAATTCTCTACATGTGTTAAGTCTGGGTCTCTCTTTGTGGCCTTGCAGGGTGACTTCTTATTGAAACTGAATAATACAACTTGCATTGCTTAGGAGGAAATGCTTCTGCTACCTGAATTTATCATACTTAAAATGATAATCTCTACTAAAAAATAAAAATAAAAATTAGCATATAAAGGTAAATTACCTGGCGCCCACAGTAGGGACTGGAACACTTACTAAGCTTCCTTGTGATGGCTTTAAGTTCAGATATAAAAGGATGTGTATGTAAAGCCTTGCATTCACTTCTCAGGATGCCTATATGGAAAGCATAAAGCATTTGCTGTGTCTAGCTAGCAAAAAAAGAAGTTTGCTTCCATGGTTAATTTAATGGAAGCAGCTCGGACACCAGCTCTACACTGGAAATAATTTCAAACTGGATACTTGTAACTGCTTTAGAGATGCTTGTTTCCTTGTTTGTGAATTAACTTGATATGAAAGTCTTGGTGGTTTTACATTTTTAATGCTGATGTAAAGAATGAACTTGTTCATTTTGGATGGCAATCCACTAGAAGCACAACCAAGCAGGAAATTACATTTGCAGCACTTTTGCAGGGGAAGGACAGAGTTCAGCAAAGTTGAGAGATAATCTCAGGGATTGAAAATATTTTGCATCTTTACTAAATCTAATCTTATTGCTGAACAAATCTTGTGATGGAGTAAGTTTATATTGTTAAAGAAGAAATGGTTGAAGTTGTTGCCTTTATACTTTGTGTGTTTCCAATAAATCATTACTGTATCTGTACTGTTTTTTCTTTTTTTCTCTTTTCAGTTTCTCCTGTTTAAGACTGGCTGTGCTGGGCAGGTCACAATGACAGGCTGATGTCCTGTGCTGTTTTATTTCTAAAGACTTCTGAAGAATAAGTTGGATTCATGAGAATTAAGTGGGATTCCATGTGTTCTGACAGCAAACTTCTTAGCAGTTCAGGTTTCTTTTTAAGAGTCTGACTTGGAGACTGGTACTGAATTGGACATTACAGTACAAGACCACTCTCAGTCTACTCTGAATTCAGCTGTCACAACCTTTTTATTTTTTTCCAGCAGATAAAGAACAGACACCAAGGGAGGATAGTAATGAAACATCATTCTCCTTAACTTTCCATTGTTTTCATACCCATACACTTACTGGAGCTCCAGAAATGAATTATTTGTCAAAATACAGTGTTTTACTTGAGCATTATCAATTGTCAAATTTCCTTTTCTGGCAGCGTTACCAAAAATTATCTTGAACTTCAGAAGGCATTTTTAACAGTCTTAAATATGTAGGAATTCAAAGCAGTAACAGCAGTACCAGAGTTGCTTTTGAACAGGATTGGGATATATCTGAAGCAAAGCAGGAGCTGGGTTGGTTGTTCAAGAAGACTGAAAAGCAAAACAAACTGTTGTGAACTTGAAGATACCTTGAAATGTAGAGTTCCAACGTTTGCAGAGAATACGTGCCTAGCGAGCTGAGTAACTGCACAGAGATGAATCATATACAGATGAGCCAATTTTCTTCATTTTCTCCAACTATTCCATACTTTGTTTCTTCTTTAATAGAAGAGGAAGTGTTTTGTATTTATAAATACCTGATTGCTTCCTTGTCATTGTTACAGCTACTTATCAGCAAGATATACATGCATTTGTCTGCATTGGGCTGCAACATTAAGACCAAGCATTCATGGGGCTGAATGGTTCCATTGTCAGTCTTGCTGAAAACTTCATTTCCTACAGACCTCACACTGAGACTGTAGAATACATGGCATTTGCTCACGTACCCTTATTAGAAGCCATTGCACAGGCAGTTTCTTGTGCTGTACACAACTTTCCAGATTAAAATTCATATTCAATTAAACTGTAGCTACTGGAAACAGCTTTTCTTTTATTCACGCTAAGCAGTGAAGTGAGATGAACATGACATCAGATTTTCTGTTAAATTTATGTCCCTGTTGTCTTTCACAGTGATATAAATATGTAGTGGCACTTCATTCATTTCATTCAAGCATTAGTTATTTCACCTATCTTGTATTGCCAGGGAAGGAAAAGCTGTTGCAGCTTTGTGTGCTGTGACTTCTTGTCCAAATGACCAGGAAAAAAAAGTGTCGGTACTGTGAAGTCTTCAGATGCAGAAGACATATTCCAAAAACATTATATAGCTTTATTCATAACTGATTAAGTTTTGATTTTGTATAAATTATACATACATTATGAAGAAAAAATAAGTTCATGTTTGACATTACTGCTCACCCACCTCCTGTTTCCATGAGGATTGATACTGGGCAACATGCAGCACTTTGTCCTGCCAAAATGTGTATGAGAAAATGGATAGCCCTCCACCCTTCAAGTTATTATTTCATGACTGTGACAGCAAATGGCTTTGTTGTAGCAGAGTGAATACAAACAATTCTTCCACATCATATTCTAGTCATTCAAATCCATTCTTTCCATATGATATCTGTAAACTATTGTATTTGAGTTGGAAAGTTAAGTAGAGGAAAGATTCTGAGTAACCCAAAGTCAACACAGTGAATGATGTCAGATGTGCAGTCACTAGTTCTGCCTCTCAGAAGATGATGTGTAAAGGGAAACACAAGTTGTCTTTGCTCAGGAAACATCTGGTTGATATTTTATTTCTCAAGCAGGTCATTGGCTTTTTATAATTGAGTGGAACAGTAAAATGTGGGAAGACAGGGGGGTAGATGTAGACTTCTGGTATTAATGCTCACCAGTAGGCCACTTACTTACCTTCCCACCAGGAATTTTGCTTTCTGTGTTTTAGCCTTCTGTGTATAAAGAACATTTTCAAATGAGATCTAATTGTATTTAGATTTCAATTAGCTGAGAGTAATGTCATTTTCTTACGCATGGATTTGCCTTCCTCCAGACAGGAGGATAATTCATAACTACATTTACTGCCCCACTGTAGTATTCTGATAGAGGAAAGTACCAGACTTCCAGACAGCGTTTCTTCCTTTTTCACTCATTTCCTCAAGCTCAAAAGGCACTGGGAACCTCCATGCAAAAACAGAGAGGAAGACTTATGACAGGAGGTAAGTTGTTATAAATCTAGATGGACTACATTGAAGATAAACGTTGAGAAGAAATAAGAACAACAATTCTCTGTAACAAGATAAGTTGTGTTTAAATGATTTCATAACACTTTGGCTTGGTATTATATCCTGACCAAAATGGTAAATCAAGTTACTGTTTAAGCACTTCTAATATTTTTCTTCAGCTGCCAATTAACATACTAATTAGGACTGCATATGAACACATATGCACTAATAAGACAGAACATCATATTTCCCTATTGATTTAGTATTTCCTGTTCTTTGAGAACTTGACTGTAACCCATTATTCTCTAAAACACAAAAGTAGCCTTTAGTAAGACAGGAACATGATAAAGGGGAACAGCTCTTCACAGGAAACCTTAATTTCCAAAGTAGGGAGAACTGCATACTATGAGTGTTTCACAGAACATACCATAATAAAAAAGGAATTCTGTTGAATGGCCTTGAGCATAGGTATTAATATTATCCATGAGAAAAACTGCCTCTGGCCCAACTGTGCAACTAGTTGAACCATAAGATGTTCCTACGGTTTAAATACAAGTAACCATAGCATAAAGATTTAAGTGATTTTGTTTCTGTCCCTTTGTCTGTCTTCCTTAGATAGACATTGTGATGCCGGAAGATCTAGTTTTTGCCCCAAATTTAATTCTCTTACAGAGTTTCTCTACAGAAAAACCTTGAGAATGAATCATTTTCATAGACTGTGTTGTTCAAGTTTTGGATTGCTGCAGTTCTTCCAAGAGATTCTATAATACATGAAGCCAAAGGTTACACCTACGTGCTGTACGTATTTCAAACAGATGCCTGCTGTTAAGTTACAAGGCTCACTGCATTTCTGTCTAAGCATACCTTGAAAGGTTTTAAGCCTTTCCCTTTTTCACCTAGAGCTGTGGGGGTTTTGATTTTTAATATCCCTAGTGCACATACATATCTTCCAAAGCATGACAGAAATTGTGTGTAATTGTTTGTAAGAGGATGTTTCATGTTCAGCTACAACTTGGAGTTATGGTTTAAGAGTGGGTTTTAAACATTTTTATTAAGACCAGACTGCTGCTGTGCATTTTAAAAGTTAAAGTATTTTCTCAGTATGGAAGTCATATAATTGAGTTGTATATTTGAATGGAGAGCATGATCCTAGAAGAAGCCAAAATTGCCCGTCCAACCCATTTATCCTGTGAAAGGCTCATATGATGTTGTTCACCTATTGAAATAAAAACAAACAGTAGGAACATTTCTTCAGTAGGAAATTACATCGACACTGAAAGGGTCTATTGTCTGAGAGTATGAGGTGGGCATGTGAGAAAGTACATTGCCTTCCAATGTTTTGTTGGGTTTCTTTGTAATACAAGGATAAACTGACCCTTGATAACACTGAAGATACAGTTCTAGGAACCATGAAGTGGAGAGCATTGTCACTGAAAAATGAGCTTGATGAATGCACTACAATGAGAGACAAACATGTCAGTAATTTAGAAAAAAGACTTTTATTCTCTACCTTGCTCCAAGTGGATTTCAGAGCTAAAAAGTTCTGGGGACCCTTAGAAATTCTTTCAGCAAAAACAAGCCTAGAAATACCTGCCAGAACACCAGATACAATTACAGGCATCATAGAATACAAATGCTTCCTCTTCATGTACATTTCACAAGTACATGTATTTAACCTATCTTTTTCAGAGTAGTAGTTTGGTCTTTTTTTAAACACTGAATTTCTTTGCTTTTGAGTTTATTTTGAAAATATGATTTGAGAACTAACACTTTCCTCTGAATCTTTTTATGGTGTCTAGATATCAGGATGTTTTACAACAAAATAAGGAAAGGTTTTTTTCAACAACAGTGATAATCAGTAATGAAACAAGTTGCTCAGAGAGATACTCAAAGCTCAGCCAGTCAAGGCCCTAGGAAATTTATCTCACTTTGAAATTAGAGCTAACTTAAAATCTGGTGCTGCACTGAACTGTGGGTGGGAGCAGATGATGACACAACCCCCACGCTTCATTTCCTGTTGCATCCAGCAGCTGTAGATCATATGTGAAAGGTTAAAGCTGGGAAAAAAACCTCGACTGAGCAAAACTGTGATGTAATAAAAAAAACAAGACGAAGTGCAGTATCTAAGCATCCCAGAAGATTTTGCAGTTTTATCTCTACTACTCTGCACACAGCTTTTCAAGGGAAAATACTGAGCCCAAATGCACTCACAAAATTATAGTCTTAGGCTCTCTGGTTGTTTTTGTTTGTTTGTTTGTTTTTGTTTTTGTGTTTTTGTTTTTTCAGATGGGAGCATATACAGAATCATATTTAATTAAAATTAAACTAATTGAGGGTATATTTTTAGGGTTGGTGAGTGGAGTCTTCTTCATTAGACCTGATTCTCATTACCAGCCTAATTCAATATTTAGCAACAGAAGAAACACTGTATGGATTCCATAGTGGAGTTTCCAAGACCTGGTCAAATGGTTGATATTTCCAGTCAATATTTTCTGGTGAATACGACATCTTTTATTCTTACATGCTTTTTCCTTTCCCTTCCCCCTCCAGTATTGTGTCAACGTTTGGGATGAGCCCAAATCCTAATGTGTGATCTGACCTTCTGACATCTTAACCAGTGAGCTACCAACTTAGACTTGCTTCCTGCTCTGGAAAGTAAAGCATAAACATAATACTTAAGGACCTTAGTCTGCTTACCTATTATTTTTGAGCCTGTCAGTTCTAGTACATTTTACTGTATTATAAAACTCCTGGATGCATTTTTATTCTGCACAAGTAATAAGAGTTTATTTAATAGACTTAAGAGAGCAGATACTGATTACATGAGGACACTGAGAAACAAAACCCACATGTTCTGATCCAGCAGATGATACTGCTAAATTGGCATCCTCATTGTCTTACACAACGACCTTGCATGCACAGCCTGGTCAGCTGGCAGAGGCTGCAAGCATAGGATTATAGTCTGAAATGTGGCAGAAGGGTAGGAAAACAAAAATATCTACACTCAGAAATATATGCACGTGAAGTAAATGAGAGCAAAGCAGCACCTGGAAAAGGGCAATAAATACAGCTTGGTAGTGAGGAAAGACTACAGGAAACTGAGTACCCGAACACAGTAGAACCAGGAAGGCATATCAAAGCATTAGGAAAGGGCCACAGGTACAGCATAACAAACAAGGGCACCACTGGGCACACACAGCTTACTGATCTGTGCAGACTACAATAGCAGGGATCTGGGGAAATAGAAGCAATGTGGATGCAGTATCTTTTTTTTTTTTTTTTTTGTATCTGAGAAGTCACATCAGCATTTCGTTTCCTTTTCCTGATACTTTCCTGATGTTTCACTGGAGGTTGGAAAATAACCAGAAAAATTGGAAAAAAAAGTGATTTGGTTTAAAAAGTATTTTGCTAATTCATGCTATTCAGAGGCTAACATACAGTTCTAATAAAAAGTAGCATGTAACCATTCTACTCTAGACTTGGAGACGAGGCACGTACTGAGTTGGGTGTGTTAGGAAGGACATTCCCTCAGGTCTACAAGAGGATTCGGACACTCACATACAGACGTAAATTCTTCTGTGGGTGTTATATGGAAACTTAACCAAGAGTTTCACTGAATTCAGTGAATCAAAAACCTCAATGCAATACCTTCAAAACTGTATCAGTAGTTTGGCCATGAGTCAGCAGAATGTTCTTGTGGCCAAGAAGGCCAATAGTATCCTAAGGTGCATTAAAAAGAGAGTGGCCAGTAGGTTGAGGGAGGTGATTATCCCTCTCTACTCTCTCTCTCAAATATATATATGTAAGTCACTTTATATACCAGCACATAGTTCATGGTAAAAATGTTAAAAAGTTCGCTTTTAAAGAGATTTATATTGTAAGGACTCTTTTAATGAAAAAAATGAGAGAAAAAGAAGCATAAAAATAAAGTGACTTACTCGTTCTGTTCATAAAGGATCTGTCCTGCCTGAAGGATCACGGAGTAAAAATGGGATGGAATCCTCATTGAAGCTGAAATGAAACAAGTGGATATGACTTAATATTTAGTAGTAGTCATAACTAACCCTTGATTTCATTTGTTCATCTCAAAGTTCTTTTATAAACAGTTAAATATCACTATTTGACAGAACACAAGACAAGGTGTACTCGTTCAACAGCAGAAAAAGAAGTGAAACTCAAATGTTCTCAATCAGTAGGCTTATCCACTACAAAGCCCTGCAATACCTATTGATGTTATCACGAAATGAACAGACTACTGTCGAATCTACTGCCTTCCTTCAGGTGAACATTCACGTAGGATGCTTCAACCAAGTTTTTCACATAAACCCTTATTTGACAAAATCTTTGGCACTGCAAATAAGAGAAATCTTTGTAGTCCACTACGAGGAGGTGTTTTGGTGAAAAATCCATATTTGATGAGGGCTTATATATTCATTAAATCAATGTACCGTAAACACATCTATCATATCCATATCAGCGTGTCACTGAGAAAAGCCTCTGCGTCAAAAACATGCAAGTATTTAATATTTTACTGTTTCATGTCTGTTTTGGACAATAAGAACATTGAATCATGTATGGGTATGTTAGGTTACATCTAATGAAAATCTCCATGCAATACTAACTGAAACTACAATTTATTACACTATAGCAATGACATAAATCATATTTATCTAGTTTTTAATGCAATTGCATGGTGCCAGATTTGGCTAAATGTGATATTCATAGAGCTGCTTGATTTTGCCGATGTCTGAACTAACAATATCTACAGTTTTCTTGGCAGACACAGAAAGAGTACAATAGGCTTACCCTTGCAGGAAAGTATGCTGTATTCAGCACAAAAATGTGTTTGTGGTCATCTTTGATCAATTCAGACTGTAGACCAGAAAAGACTCAGGAAAAAAAAATCTAGTTCTATTTTGTGCTTGGTTTACATTTCTCAACAAAGATAACTAATGACACAGTGAATCGATCATTTCTCAGGGAAGTGTAATAGGTTACTGCCATCTAGTGCCATGAAGTAGACTCAGCCTCTGTCAGACAACTACAATACCTTAATATGACATGTGGGAACATTAGGTAAAAGGGTTTCTTATCAACTGATGTCTGAAGCCAAGGATACAGGTGAGTGGCATGGTGACCCTTGGTCTGCTCCTGTGTTCTATCATTGGTTTATATGGAGTAAGATTGAAACATTGCAAAAGCTCCAGAATCAGAAGCAAAGCAGGGTAGAAATTGTTTTGAGAATGTCTAAGATTATTGGTTTCAGAGACAAGATTAGAAGAGCAGTGTGGCTCAATAAGCCAATACTCTCTAGCCAGGATGGGGCTTTCTTTCCTTTTATTGAATAAAAAATAGCAGGACTGTCAGATGGCCTACAGCTGGTTTCCTATAAAGATTTTCTTAAGACCATATGGTAAAAATTTGTCAAGGTTTGAGACTATGGCAATTTCTACATCAACATTCAGAACTCTGACTTCCAATGAAAAGAATATAATTAAAATTTTTGTGTTTGCTCAATGAGAGCAGCTTCTGGATCCTGATAAGATACTTGGGTGGAAATGATGGATTTTAAAGGAAAGGCTGCCAAAGGGAAAACATACTGAAACTGTATGGACTCTGAGCACTGTTAGGTAGTACGCAATTGAAAGCATTTCAGTTGTCAGCTCTGAGTACTTCATATTCACTGACAGCCGTAATTTTAACTTGTGCAGTAGTAGAAAAGTTGAAAGTAAGAAAAGAACATTAGCATGGAAATAGTTCAAAACTTGATCCAAAACTTGTCAAAGTTTTGGAGGCTCTTGATTTGAACTTTGGGCCAGCACTTTGAATTGTAAAAGAAGAACTTCAAGTTTGGCTTATGAGCAGCATAAAACAATGCAGAGTTAAATTATTTGCAGAAGACTGATGGTGGAGGCTTCTCTGCATTCTGTCGTTTAAAAATCACCACTATGATCTCAAATAGAGGTGCTACTCAGGAACTGGAAAAGTTGAAATAACTACTTACTAACTATGGAAATGTTTGGAAAAATTCCCTCAGCTATACCCTTCTTTTCTATAATGTATTTCATATCCTATAACGTACAAATTTAAATAAAAATCTGAAGTTTTAAAAAGGTGCAAATATTATCTTTTTTCAAATGTGGTTCAAAGTAAAAATGAAAAAAAGTATCATTTCTCAAATCTTTCTTTTGGATTAAACCTATGAATTCTTACCTATGCTTTCCTATTTACTGAAGCAACAGAAGAATATCTTCATGTTTTGTCCTACTGAGATTTAGTTTAATAAATTATATAGCATATCAAAGCTTATCTTAAAATCCCTTTCTTCCATTGACAAAGGATGAAATCTCATGCCAGGTTGTTACAAATATGACAGCTTCTTGATATAAGGAATTTTACATTTTTTACATGGCTGTCTTGATTTCTCAGTTGGGTGAATGTCTTCCATAAGAAGTCATTTGTTCCTAGTTAGTAGTACACAACTTTCAACTAGATTCTTTTGTGATAGTTCAAAGCGAATCTTTTCTATTTCTAACCACTTCTACTTGCGATGTGCAATAACCCCACAATCACAACTAGCTTGATACACTTCAGTCCAACTCCGTCCTATAGTGAATGGAATGCTAAAAACAGTAAGATCCAAGTCAAATTTGTAACATTTGTTTCTTGAGTTTAATAAAAATACCAAACAGGAGTGCTGGTGAGATCTGCAATAGCCCTCTGGCATTATAAGAAGCAGATTACAGATGAAATGTTCATTTCCTTTCACCTTGCATTGGAGAACCCTCTTATATCCTTTATAAAACAACAAAAACAGTGGAATGCTGTGGGTCATTTTGCACTGCTGACTGTGAGAACAACACAAAATGAGTTCCAAAGTGGTATGCTTTGTAAAAATGGAATTGGGCTTGCTGTTTGGGGTATCTTTTAGTCTTTCCCTACCTATGCCTTTATTATCCAGCTTGCAAATCATCATCACTGTTACTATAATTTCAGGAGCTAATCATTACCTCTTCAATTTATTATCAAAGGGCATAGCAATGATGTATCTATGAACGATCCTCTGTAAAGACAGGTCTCTTCCTCCCTTTTCTGGTCCCTCTCCCATCTTTTAGTACATTCAAGATGTCATTGATGCTCATCAAAGACAAAGCTTACCCCCTTCTAGGATCAGTATCCACTCACGTCTTCTAGCGTCTGCCAAAGATGTACAACCAACAGTGTAGGCTAAGAATGAGGTTTATTACTGGAATTCCTTGTACAGTACAAACCCACACAGTCAGAAACTCAAAGCAGGCTTACAAATCTCCTGGCACTGCACAAAATACATCTCACCGCAGGCTACCAAAGAGTGAAGAAAGTACTGAAAAACCTGCTCATTAGCTTTTTATTTTCTTTGCTATGTACACAACCACTTCCCAAATAAAGTGAAATGTAGATATTTCCCACTGAAGAGAAACTATTTATTTTTCCTAAGTTATGATCAAAATAGGCTTGATGTGCATTAATAGAAGGGTGCTGCTTTCAAGTCAAACAATTTCCTTTCACTGCAACCACAGCAACAGAATAAGAAGCTCAGTAACTAAAGCAGCAAAGTTGGGAGCTGTTAATGATGAATCTGAAACTGCCTTTGTTCTGTGACATTAATGTAATGACAGGTATGATCCCAAAAGAGAGGCTGCTGTAGCACGTAGGAAACAGCTCTCTTCACAGGTCAGACTTAGTTACTAAATCAGCTTCTAGAAGGGACTGACAGCTTCATAAGATTAAAGGAAAGGCCATTCCATCAAGGAAACAGAAACAACTCTTTTATTCCTGAAGAAACAGCAACACTGTATGGATCCATGGCACCTTTTTCTACTTCCTTTTTGCAAAGATGAACATCCTTCTCCTAGAGTGTGAATGATGCAATATAAACAATGGTAACTGGAAAAGGCGAAGACAATTAAGCAAGGATCTAACTACAAAAATGAAATTGCTGGCCTAAAGTCTGAAAAAGCAAACAGAAAATCATAACCGCTGGCTCCAAACTCTGTAAATCCTTCCAACCAAATATGAAGAAATATTCCTATCTGAGGCTGAAAAGATGGGGCACATTACAATGGTAGGGTGGTTTTCCTTCAGATTATATCAAAATAATTGATGGGAATGATTTGTGGCATGGGAAAGTTTGCTCTTGTCACAAGGGAAAGAACTACTAAAAAGGCAGCCTTGGATTGTCTCAGGGGTAAAGGTTTTCCTGATTGAGATTATTTATAGAGAATTAGTTTTTATGGTGGGCGTTTTATTTTTTTTTCTCTCGAAAATTCCATCGGTTCCTTGTTATTCATTTCAGATGTTCCATATGAATGAAGCACAAGAAGGTGTCCTTCGCATGAAAAATCCAGCAGGATCTCAGTAAACTCACCATCACTGTAAGTAAATTCAGAATTTAGAAAATCACAGAAATTTATCAATACTATTTTGTCTTTTCCCTACCAGTCACCTAAGGCATGGGAATGAATGGCATATGTTGAAGTGAATCCTCTGCAGCATAGAATGTATGTGTAATATGTATGGTGTAATGAATTTATCTCCAACCAGATCAGAACTCTTGAGAGCAGCCTGCAGATTTAAAATATTTCCTTGTTGCATCTGCCAGGACTGCATGGGAAGCGGATTGCTACTGAGTTTTTATTGCATTTGCAGAACTAGATTTTTGCAGCAGCTGATAAACATTGCTATATTTCACCAAGATTATTACACCACACTGTCTTCTACTCTTATTAACAGCTCTATTATGTTCAGCATGATTACAACAACAGTTTCATTCTCTGAAGTTTTCTATGCTTTTATTTTTCTCAGCGATCCTAAGGAAAATCACACTCTCCTTGTTTAATAAGACATCCTTTTTTTCATACTTTCTTGGACAGCGAAAGACGTTTTAAATCAACATTTAAAACCATATTCATGTAAGAAAGCCCATTTTATAAAAAAATAAGCTACTTTAGGATGATGACTTAAAATTCAGA